TATTGTCAAATTAATCTTAAAAACTTATTTTTTAATAAATATTTTTAAAAATTAATCAATTAAAAATTTTATTTATATAAGTTATACATATCAATTTTAATATTAATTTTGTATTTATAACTCTTTAATAAAAAATTTATTTATTAATATATATTTAATAATATTAAATCTTACATAATTATAAAGTAAGTAAATTTATTAAAATCATTTAAAAATTAATATACATTATTTTTATAAATAAAATTATTAACAAAACAATTAATTTTGAAAAATATTATTTAGAGTGTAAATTTTTAGAGGTATTCGGAAAAAACACTTCCCCCAATAAATATATTGATTCTGCACGATTGCTGCGCGAGGATAATCCACCTAAGGAGCTTATCTCAGAAAACAGAGAACAAAAATGGCGGTACCAGGGAGGCCCAATGGTCTGATGGAAGATGAGGATCACGAGGACGAGAACGCTCTTTTCGAAGATGACGGTCTGAACGTGGACTATGAATCTGACACGCCTCCTCACCTCCGCGAACTCGCCGCCGCTAGCCAGATCGGCGACGCTGACGCCCTACGTGTTGCCATAGGTCTGTCACCTTTTACGCTTCTATTTTTCACTTCCCTTTTGCGTATTCTAGTTTCATTGATCGAATTTGTTATTGGACACTTCTAATTTACTGGTTTTTTAATCTTTGGCCACTCTAAACCCTAGGATTTATCATGTTAACGATTCAGAAGTTTGTGTATACGCGGGATGAATATATGTATATTGAGGTTAAGTGAGATTAAAGGTTTAAACTTCATTTTTTCTTGATGCAATTTTGGATGCAATTCATGTTGCAATTTTTGGTTTGTTCTCGGGCTTCTACATAATACATCAACAACTAGGTTGAGATCAAGATGTGATTTATAATTTGAAAATTGGAGCGTAGAATTCATAATAAAAAGCATAAATAGCTGAAAGGAGGTGACTTCTGTGTTGGAACTTACCTGTGAATAGACATGTTGGTTGGTTATGTTCTCCATTCTATATCAGAATGTAGATTCTTTTGCATTCCTATATTTGTACTCAATTGTCTTTTTCATGTCTCTTGATTTTTATTTTTCTCCTTTTTTTCCATTGCATGTAGTCTAGGAATATAGCAAATTGGACTGTGAAGATCAAAACCCTTTTGTCCCCATATCATCTTGGTAAACTACAAAGTCTTAGTTTTAATCAATAAGGTTAGACATGTTTCCCTTTAATTTCTTAAAGTTGAAATGTGCATTGATTTATAAGATTTTCAATAATGGAGTGTGGAAGTTAGTGCCACCCTAACCTGGACACACGGCAGATGACTGCTCAGGTGACTGCTTCTTTACTGGCTGTCTAGGTGGTTCCTTTCGTGATTCTAGTACCTGGTTCTTTGATGGCACCGTTTTCTTAGACTAGGCTGTCTTTTAGATGTCTACTTAGTCCTCATTTGTAGTCCTTGGGTGAGTCTGAAGTTGAAAAACACTACGTACTTGCTACTAGGCAATATCTTTCTCTTAAAGAGAAAAGGCTATTCTATTTCTTTGAGTTTAATTCAGATTTCTGTAGTCTAATGTAACACCCACTAATGCTTTCTCTTGTTGTTATATAATTGATAGATAACTTGAATGGCAGCATTAACGAGCCTGTAGAAGATGGGGACACAGCTCTCCATCTTGCCTGTCTATATGGCCATCTGCCCTGTGTTCAGGTTAGTTGCCTCATCATTTAAAAACTGTCTGCGCTCTCCCCTCTTCTCCAATAAGGATTAGAGAGAGAGTAATATTATTGTTAATGGTTTGAGTATTTTGTTCCCATGCAGCTACTTTTGGAGAGAGGGGCAAATTTGGAGGCCAAGGATGAAGATGGTGCAGTTCCTCTTCATGATGCCTGTGCAGGAGGTATTTATAATTGCCAATATTTGTTAGATATTCTTTGCACTGGTTTTACATGATCTCCTTTTTAATGACCATTTCAGGATTTACTGAGATAGTACAACTTCTACTTAACAGTGCTAATGATACCGAATGTGTGAAAAGGATGCTAGAATCAGTTGATACAGAGGGTGATACCGTGAGTAGTACTTATCTTAATCCATTTTGACTTTTATTGTTAGTTCTTGATGAAAACCTAAAGTAAATGAATTCTCTTTTCCTTGGCTTAGTAAATTGCCAATTTTTTATTAGTTTAAAAAAAAAAAAGGATTAATTTTCTATTATGAATATCTGGGTAAAGCTTTTTTAAAGTTGGCTGAAGAAGGGAACAACTGCACCCCCCAACCACACCCCCCATTCTTTTCCACTCCTTTTTTTTCCTCAATCATTTCTCTTCTTTCCTCTTGGTATCTTTTTGTAGCCTCTTCATCATGCAGCAAGAGGTGAGCATGTGGATATTGTAAGATTGTTGCTGGCTTCAGGAGCCTCACCCACAAAGACAAATATATCTGGAAAGGTTAGATAGAAAATGATTTTTATACTTTCTCCTTTCTTTATTGACGTTTCTAACTAGGAAATTCTGCAGACTCCAAGTGAGCTGGCTGACCCAGACACAGAAGCTAGGAGAGTTTTGGAGGCAGCTGCTAGTGCCCAGACCTGCTAATGAAATTTAGTAGATGCTTCTCTAAAATTGCCTTGACTTAATCTCCTTTTGGGGAGTTGGTGTGTTGTTTCATGCTATACTGCCTTAGGTAGGCCACAATAAACAATTTTGAGGTTCGTTGGAAATTCCTCTTCACAGCTGAAGTTAGAAGATTGAAGAGGGTGTTGGTAGAATAGCATTCAGTTCTGTTTTCGTTATTTCATATAGAAGCCACAGAGCTTAGCTTAATGCAGTTTTTAAGCAATTGGTATCTGTTCCATCACATATTGATAACAAAGTGATTTTCTTTTTTGGGATGATTATGAAAGTATTAAAATTGAAAAGGAATGAAATTGTGGAAGAGTCAAAGAAAAGGTAGTATTGACCTGCTCTGTTACCATGAAAGAAATTATAGTAGGATCAAAAGAAACAAACTAGGCAAGTGAAAGAGAGAAGAAGATGATATTTCATATTTGACCTATGAAGATGGTTGAATTTGAACTTTTATGTTTTTTTTTTTTTTTAAGTGATTGTATGATAAAAGGCAATCATGACTATGACTTCATGACCTTTACATTACTAGAAGGAGAATGTCATCACCAGGTTGGTTAGGTCGCTAACTTGAGCTATAATTTTTTTCTTTACAATTTTGTACAATGTTACACAACTTGACGACATCAAATGAGTGGTTGAGTGATTGAATCTTTTTACAATCGATGCCTTAGTCATAAATTAGTGTGTATTTACCTTAGTGATAGATAAAGTATTGTGCAGTTATTGTACAATACTTATAACTGGATGGGGTGAATCTCTCAATAATGGAGCTCTCTCTCATCTAATGACCTTACTTTAGAGTTCAAATTGCAAAATATAAGACTCAATTAGGGTTCTTTTTTACTTAATCTCAACTTCTTAGCAAATCAGGAAATAAAGAATATATGGGAATAGGAGTAATGGTGGGATCAACCCATCATGTGGTTACAAGTAAATTTCACCAATCACATTTAATGAGATTTGGTTTCCTTATTCCTCTCCAACTCGAATCCTCCATAAATACCTTTTATTATTAGTAATGTTAAGGTATAGGAAGAAACTGAAGACCATTGTGATCGAGACTTTACTATTCCAATTGGAGTTTGGCTTTTAGGTGAGTGATATTATTTATAAATTGTTCTCTCGTTCTCACGTAAATTGCATCTTTTCTCTTGTTTATTGCTTCGATTTAACAATTGTGAATTCGCTTGGGTGAAATCCCAACTTTAGCGACTTGACGTTCAGCCCTACACAGTTTGGAAGAAACTCAGCTTGACGCCAGTCTCCAATGGCGACTGTACCGCTCAGAGGTCGCGCTTATTATTTTGATTACTTGACTAAGCTTCTCCTCATCGGCGATAGTGGCAAGTCTATTTTCTCCTATCTTTTTAAATTCACGGTAGTTATAAATCTTTTCCCGTTGAGACATAGGTGAGCTAAACATACTTTTAAAAAAGTTATTTAGGTTACATTCGAGTTATAATTTCTTTAATTAGAACCATAACACTTTAGAATAATTTTGAATAAAATTTTATTTTAATTCAATTTTTACAATACAAAATCTTTTTCAAAAACCAGGCCAAACAAGCACTAATAGTTTATACCTAATCAAGAGCCCGTTTTAGGTCTTAGGCTCTATAGCAGAACTTTTTAGTCTTTTAATATATTAAATATATTTAATATTTAACTTTAATTCATATTTTATATATATTTTAATAATAATAATAATAAAATAACCTATAACTATAACACTATACAACAATTAAAAACGGAAAAAGTGCTTGACAGCCTTACCTCTTAAAAGTTAGGAGGAAAATCATCTTAAAATTACGTCATTTCAATAATTTTTTATTGAAAAAGACTAAACTATCATATTTTTAAAACATGCATTAAGGTAATTTTTGTCTTTTTTCCTCGAACAAGCAATAACCCCATTCAAAACCATGCAGTAGACTAATTATTTTATTTCACATGCAGGTGTAGGAAAAACTTGCCTGATGCTAAGATTCTCAGGTGAACCTTTTCAAACAAGTTTCCTTTCCACAATAGGGTTTGTATGCTAAACCTTTAATAATCTTGTCATTTTTAATGTTCTCAAGCTCTCTGCATTTTCCTGATGTTTTAATGTCTCTATTAGGATTGATTACAAGACTAAGATCATTGAACTTGATGGGAAGCGAATCAAGTTGCAAATATGGGACACTGCAGGCCAAGAACGTTTCCTTTCCCTTACAAGACGTACTTACCACTTTGCCTTGCTGCTTGAAAACTGTTCAAAACTCTTTCTTTTTTTCCCTTTTTGTCATTCTGTCTTGTTTCAAGGACGGAGTATGGTATAGGCTGAGGGGGGCCACGGCCCTCTAAAATTTTACTCAAGCTTCGTCCCTCACTTTTTTCATTGTTTATACTTTCTTGTGCTAGAGTATTACGCAGGAGCAAGAGGGATTCTGCTGGTCTACGATGTAACTGATGAATCTTCATTCAATAGTATGCATTTTTGTTCTCTGCCTGTTGTCAAGTTCTTGTTCCACACTAGAAAGACTTGATGAGAATAACGCAAATATATATGTGGAAATTAACTCATGAACCTGCATAAACTAGTCTTCTGGTTTAAGATGACATATTGTGGGTTTTATTTGAGCTCCTGTTGGTCCATTCTCCGCATGCACTCTCTTTTATGTTACCATTTGTTTTAGATGGGTGCAGGATTTACTGGAAAGTAGCACATATGAAGAAGCTTCTTTCATATTCAGGATTTCTGATCCAATTATTTTGCAGACGTCAGGCAATGGATGGAAGACATTGAGGTAAATGGCCCTGACGATGTCAACAAGATATTGGTTGGTAACAAAGCTGACAAAGATGAGAGCAAAAGGGTAATAACTTGAATTCATGAGCATAACTTCTTTTCATTCCTCTCAATATCAACTTTATGTTTGATCTCATTTTTTCAGGCTGTTTCAACTTCAAGAGGCCAGGCATTAGCTGATGAATACGGTGTAAAATTTTTTGAGACGGTAAGACCTTGTACATAAGGGCAAAACATGTAACATCCATGGAAGCTAGTTCCTGAGGGTTTAGTTACAGACTGAAATCTGCGTATATTAATGCTGTTTTTTTAACATTTTGAGCAGAGTGCAAAAACAAACTTTAATGTGGAGCAGGTGTTCTTTTCCATTGCAAGAGACATAAAACAAAGACTTGCAGAGAGTGAATTCAAAGCAGAGGTAGACATTTGCTCCCCTAGATTTTATGTGTATGTTCAGGATTTCATTAGTTATGGCTTATGATGGATTCAAACCACTCTGACCCGCACTCTGTTTCAGCCTAATACCGTCAAGATCACCAAATCCGATTCTACCAACGCCAAAACTGCTGCTCCAGAGAAATCAGCATGCTGCGGTTTATGAGCTTTAACAAACGATAAGATTGTATAATTACAGTCCCTCTTTCGTCTTTTCTTAGGATTGGCGAGTCATTTAACTTAACCAGAAAACAGAATTTGATTACTTGCTCATATAGATCGGTACATTTCTCTAGGAGTTTCTTATTGTTGTTGGAACAGAGGTATACTTGGGAGAGACATACAGCTTCCTTTTACATGTTCCCACATCTTAATGGTCATTATAAAGTTATTTAGAGCAGGAAGTAGAAAACTCAGATTAAATCAATGAAAGCAATATTGTTTTCTAACACAGACAATAATTTACCAATACAAACAGATTTACACAAGCTAATAGATCTTATTGCAGTCTTATGAGGGTACAAATGGCATCTCAAAGGAGAAAATAGAAATATTAAAAGAAATTTTCATGTACACAATTTGTTCACATCCTGTTGATGCTGAAAGCCTGCGCCACCAGCACGCACAGGCATGACGTTGATATGTAAGTTGTACTTTCTTGGCGTGGCCTCTATTTTGTGCCATGTTAAGAGCAGCAACCGCCTCTAGGAGGAGCCTGATTTTCTGTTTTCTGCTTTAAAATGTTCCTCTTTAGGTTAGATCCTTCTTCCAAAAGACTAGGGACCTCCATTATCTGTTACAAAATCCATGGCAGGTCAGAAATTCCGAATATGGGACTAAGTATCATAGTCTTCTTTTAACAATCTCTAATCATGTCTTATATGTTATCAGGAAAAATAATAAAGAGTTGAAAACGGAAGCTAAAGACTGAAGATGCATTATACTAATACCTTCAACGCAAGCTCCTCAAAGCATTGTTCCACGTTTTCTCTAGTTTTAGCACTACATTCAACAAACAAACACCCAAGTTCTTTGGCAAGGGCCATTCCTTCTTCTCTGCTAACAACTCTCTCAGACTCCTGAGATTACTAACAAATTAAATATTATAAAATTTGTTGATGGTGAATTAAATATTGGAACAGGACATGAATAAACATAAAAGAAAACGTGTCACTGTTTTATGTAAAACTCATGAACTAATGGGAAAAAAATCATGTTAGAGAATTAACCGCTGGCAGTGCTAAAATGGACCATGCGATATTAGCTAAAAGTACATCTTATATTCAAGTGCTAAATCACATGGATAGCAACTTGGAGAATCTTTGGTCTTCTATAGTATACTCATATATACAACACAATACCCGAGGAACATAGCTGTCTTATCTTTTTACTGCAATTAATTAAGATAAGACCAACGCTAAATACCAAATATAAGCACCCTACAGCATATTCGTAAGAGTAAAATAAGGAGAACAGAAAAGCTTACTCTATCGACTTTATTTCCAACAAGCATCTTGACACAGTCCTTATTGGTAGAATAGAGCTCCACTTCTTTAGCCCACACATCACACAAGTTTGTAAAGGTTTCTCTCCGTGTCACATCATAAACTAGGAACAAAACAAAAGAGAAAACAGAAAAGTTATATTTCAGATGATTTAACCACAGGTGAATTATCTTTGAGATGGCTGAAAGCATGATAACATAACATTGTAGGCAGAAGCGGGAGTCATTATTTAGAATATGTTCCATCAGCTCAAGAAATCTAATTTCCATGATCTAGCATCCCAAAATAAGGTGGAAAGGCATAAATGTAGGACATTTGCACCAGAATTAAGATAATAGACAATTTATACACACACTTGACCTCAGTGGCCCTCTTTTATTCTGGCTACCCACATCTCCACCTCAGTTAGTGCAGAAGGAAAAGCTCAATCAAACAATTTAATATAAGCATGCCAATATTATTCTCATAATCATATACTTTCATTTGAGAAGTAAACAATGAATCAAAGCCACCCTCTAATCTTGGTATTAGAAATGTAATAGCTTATGAGAACAAAGTGCATTGGTCACTTGACAATTTTACACCAGAGATAGACTCCAATAAGCAACATAAAGAAAGAACATATTTCATTGATTCTCTATAAGAATGAAACTCACCAAGAATGATCCCCTGGGCACCTCTATAGTAAGAGTTTGTTAATGTCCTGAACCTCTCCTGTCCAGCTACAAGAAGCATATGATCTCAGATATTAATGATCAATCATAATTTATTCACATTCCAACAAAAATTTAGGAAGCAACACTATAAATGAAAAGCTCAAATGGAAAAAACAGGTCAAAGAAGCATTTTCCTTTCACCATTTTGAAGAATCTAAGCAAATGGATGACTGTCTCCAATACAACACAATTTTATGTTTGAAATTTTCACACTGTACAGATTACCCTCTTGCATCCCTTAGAAATTTCGCAACGAGCACCAATTACGAAGTAATAAGCTACGTAAAGCATTAAAATTTTGACAAGGAACAAGGTATAAAATGAAAAAACATAAACTTCAACATTTCTTTACGCACCAGTATCCCAAATTGTGAGCTTCAATCTCTTTCCACCTACTGTTAGCAGCTTGATCTTAAAATCCACACCTACACAAATTAAAGATTAACTTGAATATTACACAAATAAGCATCAAGACACTACAAAATCCATACTGTACTTTTCTATAATTTTCAATGAAAACCAAGTCAGATTGGAGCAAGCTTTAATGAACTTAAACAGGATAAATCTTAAAAAAAAAAAAAAAGGAAATATAAAAGTTCCTGTGAGATCCAGGTAAACAAAGCGAATAAAACAACAAAAACTGCGCAAAATTTGCTTTCTCTTTCCTATCAATTTCCGAACAACCAAACAGAATCTCGAAAGAAAAGAAAAAGGAAATGAGACAGTACCAATGGTAGGGGCTAGATCTTCAACGGAGCTGGAAATGAAGCTAAGGAGAAGACAACTTTTGCCAACACCAGAATCACCGATCAACAAGATCTTAAAGGAGAGATCGTAGCTCCCACCGCTTTGCCCGGAGGACGATCCCATTGAATCCACAACTCTCTTACTCTCTGTCTGTCTGTCTGTCTGTCTGTCTGTCTCTGCTGCTCCTCCGTAATCCTTTTTTTCAGTTTCTCCGCCGTACCTAATGATGGTGCCTCTGGTTTTGTTTTCCTTTCAGAAGTACAGTGAAAGAGAAGTGTATAAAACAGAGGAGAAAGGCAAAGGCATCAATGCTTTCAGTGAGAGAGAAGATAAAGAAAACGGCTAACCGGAGGGAAACACACCTGACGCCAACGTATTCTTTGCTTTTGTCTTTGATCTTTCATTTTCCGTAGATGCGATGCGATGCCGTTTTCACGGGACTGCCTGTCCGCCTGTCTGTCTTGTCTTCGGGGTCCCGCTTCTTCGGTGGGAAAGTGGAGACGTGGCGTTGTTTGGAGACGGTGTGGCCACGCGGGGTGTGGTGGCGCGTTCAGGACACCGGCCGACCGTCGGCCGTGTAGGCCCTGAATTTACAAACATAACCAAAAAGCACCAACGATTATCATAAATCATTCCACCTTGCCAAACAAACAAGGGTGGTGTAATACAGATTACGCAACTTACATTATTTAGTGGGGACGGGACTCTTAATATTAGAAGTTTTTTTAATTAATAATTTTTGTTTTGTAATTTAATATAATTTAAATTATAAAATAAAAAATTCTTTACTAAAAATAAAAAATAAAAAATTGCATAAGTTACACGATAAATATAGCTTTTTTTTTTGGTGTCGGTGTTTACCTAACTAATGGGACATGATAATCATAAACATAATAATTAGACTAAGGAGGTTTGATTTAATTACAAAGTGGATTTACTCTTCATTTTATTGACTAAGTTTTCAATTATTAAAGAAAATTCATACATAATTTATAGTTCCAAAGTAGATGATTTGTTTTTAATTGAATCAAAAAGTTATTAACTTGAATATGCATACAAATTTACTTGGATAAATATGGTAGTTGGCCAAAACATTCTCCAAAAGTAGTTTCTAGATAAATCTTCCTAGTTGGTCGAGTTAATGTTGGTTATACTGTCAATTTGTCATTGTTATATACTTTGCCTGAAATTGAGAGAATTTAACTCAAATTTCATGAAAAAAACATAGATGGATTGTCCATTCTTTCTCAAAAGAGTGTCTCTTTCTATAGAATCCAAGAAAGCACCTTGTCCCCCTAACAACAACAGTCAGTCATCAACATCACAATTCACAAATCAAATTTGTTCATAGTTGAAGAAGAGTACATACATAGTTACGCTATTTTCCAGTCAAACTGCATATGTATGTAGCCTATATAATATAGAATTTTTTGTTGTTGTTGTTGTTGTTGTTGTTGTTGTTATAGTATAAGACTAGTTCAATTAAAACTTGATAAATATTATCCACGACAAAATTAAAGAATTGGTATATACAGTAGCATTGCATACATATGGAAGTTTAAACCCATCAATCACACAATTAAAATGGAATTTTCAGACTGTTACTAAAAATTGTACTAGTTTTATACGCATGCTGCTCTATGGGTCCTATACCATGGAAAAGAATGGAAGCCTTTTTCAGGGCTAGGAATTTTAAAGAATATACTACTATTACTATATGCATATATGCTCCTAAATTTTTTTCAGAAGTGGACCAATGCTACACTAGGACTGGGAATGAAACAGCTATTAACATTTCAGACAGGGAGTGGCCCTGCATGACTGTGCATGCAGGAGGGATGCAGGAGGCTGAAGTGTGGTTGCTTTAATCGCTAGACTCCATCATTGTGTTTTCTTAATTATTTGGAACTTCTATCCATCTATATTTTAGAATTTTGTAAGCCAATACTGACCCCCACTTTGAACTGTCCATCTAGAAAAAAATATAATAGAATAAAAATCCACAATGGTTAATCATTAGAAGATCTGATTTAGCTGCTTACAAGCTCACACAATCGAAGTAATATGTTCTGAATTTGGGGCAGTAAACACTCTGGATTTTGTTTTATTAATGTATTTCTTGGTTTATAAATTAAGATGTTTTTAAATTTAATTTATATGCATTTTAAAATTAATTTTTTTCAAATCTAATTAAAAGCAAGACATTCACATGAA